GTCTCGAGGCACCGCCATCAGAGGGGGCCGTCTCGTTCCCAACTGAGCCATCCCAAGACGCGAACGAGTCACGACAGGACTCAGGCTCGGTCTCGTCTCCAGTCTGCATTTTACGGAGGTTTCCACCTCGGCGCCTACGAAGGACCGGCCCTGACTGTTTGTTGTTTTGATCTTGCATCGCATAGGAGTCGACAGTGGATTGAGCCTTCTCGCTGCTCATCGAAAACCGCTGTCTCGAGATACCGCTTTGGAAGGACGCGTACTTTCTGAGTCGGAGAGATAGAGAGTTATTCTTCTTCTTCTTTAGAGGCGTCGATCCGCGTTCGACTGAGGACGATCTCTGCGGCGTGAGAGGTCGAAGGGGGTAGAATACGTTTGACTGAGCAGCTGATTCCGGTTCGTCGGCATTGTAGCAGACCGGCCGAAGATATTCTCCCTCCACGGGTATTGATTGCGTTGAGGCGTCATCAGGCACTTCGAGTTCCGGCACTTCATGCGAATTATCATCAGCGACTGGCACTGGTTCTTGTGCTGCCCCTGACATGAAAGGCATTTCGAACCCGGTATCATCAACAATGATGATCGATTCGCTGCCCATGGTGATACCGCTCCTGAGTTTGGGGTCGGAATTGGGGGCTTGCGTCGGTAAAACGTTAGAATTGTTAGATGCAGGCTCCTGAGGAGTCACTTGATGGAAGTCAGAAGTAGCTGGCGGCTGAGTTTGGTCTTTCGTTCCCTGCTGATCCATGGCCAAGCGATATTGTTTGAGGACCTCATCACACAGCAAATCAATCCGACCTGGATATTTGGGAATAGCAGCCGTCTTCCTCTCGCGGTAGAACTCAGATCCAAAAGCCAATCCCATTGGCATTGCGGATGTCTTCCCGCGGGAAGGCAATGAAATAGCCTCATGGGCATTCGCAATGCGAGCAGAGACGCTCTGTCCGCCATTCCTCGTGTGCAATGCTCGTTTGATTGAGCCAATAATTGTTCGCATACCTGAGTTAGGGGATGACTTAGGCACGTCCGGTGTGCTCCGACGATCTGGATTTGGGTTCTTCAACGGTGGAGGAAGGGGCGGTGATTCCGGCGCCATCATTGTCATGTACGACTCTGCAGGAGGATACATCTCCCCACGTATCAAACTGACAGGATCGAGCATCTCCTGTGGTGCGGGTCCTGTTTCGGGCTCGATCGCGAATATCGGTAGTCGATCATCTCGTACCGAGTCGGAGAAGCTTCCGCTTCTCTTATGGCTATGGCTGTGGTATGGGTGCCGCGAGACCATGGGAGATACGGGTGACCCAGGTGGTTCATGAGTCCTAGACGGGGACTTGGATTTCCGGGGGCCTAATACCACAGGGCGGGGCGCCTTGCCTTTCGAGGCAGACATGGACAAGCACCTGGGGGATTTAGGACGCAATGAACACGAGAGCGCCATCAAGCTTTGCTCGCTCTTGGCAGAGAATGGAATGCTTTGTGTGGTTGTTGCGGAGTCATTTCGATCATGCTGTATGGGGAAAGGAAGGCTTTCGCGAAAGGTGGTGTCTGCACGTGGCGTCATGCCATGAGTAGGGGTGGCTTGCTGCAGTTCCTCGGCTTTAGGTAACTCAATCTGAGGATCCCCAGGTACAATTGAGGTTTCTGGGTCGTTAAAGGCGCGAGACAAGTCGGGGGAAGACCAATAAACTGAACATTTGCCATTCCAGCAACGCTTCAAGTCGATGAGAATCTTTCGATCACTCGTGCCGCCATTTTGTCGAGACCTGACCTCTGAATATAGTTTGTTGATGGTCTCACAGAAGTGGGTTCGAAGCTCATAATTCGTAACAAAGTCATCAACGAAGTAATTGAGAATCCAATGTCGCAAAGCCGCAAATGTGCGAATCCTAATAATGCGTCCATCATCTTGTAGACGGTTGATTGCCCACTTTAACCGCGCAAGAAGAAGGGCCAAAAGGTGTGTTGTGGATAGGTATGAACGGAAGGTAAGGAAGAAGTCTGATACCAGCTCATAGTCCATAAATGACTCGGAGGAAATTTGCGCAACGATTCGGGCAGGTGTGGCAGCACTAATATCCTTGGTCCCAGTAATGTATCGGACAACAGACCCATCATCCATATCATACACCAGCGTTTCGTAGATGGATGGCTCAACCGGCTCTTTCAATTCATAGACCATGGAGTTCCTCGGGGCCATTGAAGCCCGGTTCATATCCATAGCCGCCGCGGTGCCCGAGAACATTGAGATCGCAAAAGATGGCCGATGGCGCGAGAAAGAGTCTCGAGGATGTGGACTATGGAGTCCCGGCAGTGGGTCAGCCATGCCCCCAAGCAATGTTGAATTCCGAAAATTGACCGACATCGAGGTTCGCGTATAGACCGAACTCTGCATCGTTGCACTGCCTTCGGCGTTGAACTGCGGCGACCCAAGCCGATAACGCGGAATAGGAACCTCCAAGGCTGGTGTCGAATTCTCACGTGCAGACTTGGGGCGGTCTTCAGATCTATCGATCACTATCCGCAGCTCCCCACGCTTCCCAGCACCGGTTACCGATTGCTGTTCCGATATTGTCGAAAACGAGATGGGTCTTGTGCGGTGCTGACTCGAGAGTTCGGGGGCAGGAGCCACGGCGAGGACGGGCTCGGGAATTTCGGGCTGTTCGCGCGGACGTAACTCAGAGAGCTGCGAGTTTGACCATCTTATTGGATCTGGGTCCTCGCGGGCATGTGCATGACTCTGCGGCTGAAGGTGACTGGGTTTGGCGGTATCGACTGGAGAGAAAGATGCAGGCTGTGGGCTTTTCTGGGACGGATTGGCAATCGGCCTAAGTTATTGAAATGATCTTACGATCAGCAGGCTGCATATTATGTGACATAGCACGAGGGATTATGGATTGATTGGTGTACCTGAGAAATATTTTGCCATTTTGGCCGACACTTCTTACGGTGAAATGGCCGGCCTTCCTCCCGGGGGATCGCGCCTCTAGTGGGCCACGGTGTGTTTGGGACCGCTGTAGCTTGTTCTGTTGTAGGAGCTCATGGCTATCCTTGGCCTTTATTCCAGTTGCTGTTCTCTCGCGTGCTGCCTTCAACTCTAGATTCCGCTTGACGTTGCTGCTCTGGGCTACTGTATTGACACGGCGAAGATTCGAGATAGGATTCGGGGGCCCTCCACTAGACATTCGGTTTGAGGGTGGAAGTTCATTGATTTGAACCTGCGGGCCCAGAAAGGCATCCTTGAACTCTGAAGGATCGATGGGTGGAGGGAAGGGCTCCATGGCGCGCGAAAGCTATAAGAACGCGAAATGCTCCCGTCGCGACGGGGCCAGGGTTTGTACCACTGGAAGATATCAGGGTAAAATCATACAAAATAATACATGACTTATGAGGTCAGAAGGGTTTTTTAGAAAAAAAAGAACCAAAAGCAGAAAAAAACCAAAAATCAAAAGGGAAGAAATCGGACAGCTCTTGTTTTTGTGGAGATGTGACCCGACACGGCGGAAGAACACAGTGGGCACTTGGGAACGCTGGGGTCATTCCATAGTAGAGCCCCCTTTTACCGCTGTTTTTTTTTCTATTTGATTTTCTCGGATTCTCTCTATGTTGTACATGTATGTACTGTATGTACTGTATGTAACTATTGTAGGCACTTTATTGCTACATATGTACTCATCACTTATTTCTCTTAACTATGTTGTACAAAGTCCAGAGTACAGAGCAACACACCGTCCAAAAGCTGAGCGAGGTGATAGGTACGTTCCGGAAGGCCGGTGAAAAAGCGTCTCGGAGCCCAAAAGTACCAAAAGTACCTCTATTGGCAGTGCAAAACAGGGATTCTGATTGATTGAATTGCCCGTTATTTTTCTCCACTTTAATGGGACTGTCTGACATATCCCGGATCTACTAGGTCGATCAACTCAGATGTCTTACTTTGTACGGAGTATTATGGAGTTGACATGAAGTATCATGGAGTATCATGGAGTACTACGGAGAATATACTGGTTTGACCCAAAATGCGTCTTAATTCATCTCAAACCTACCTCCATACTCTGTACAGAGTAGTAGATAGCTCTGAAGGTAGAAACGAGATTTAATTGTGTGACCTCTCTCATCGTAAAGCCCTGGAAATTACCGTGCAGCGCCCTAATTTAGATCATTGGCTGCCCTATTTTATAGACCCATACTAGCGCAAGCCCTGGAGATTTGCAACAAGATTCTGAACATCGTATGATTGGAAATTTAAGGGGAAAGTGGTTATGTTTTCTTATTTTGGGGGGAGTTACTTTGTACAATCTCATAAGTTGCCTATGGAGTACTCCATACTCTACTACTACCTAGGTACAATCCACACAAGACTTCAATGCTGTATGTTGTACTCTCACCTATCACTGTGTCGGTGAGACATCACATGTCAAATGTCGATCAAGCTGACAGTGATCCATAATAAATTGACATATCAATATATTTTTTTTTCCTTTAAAAAAAAGAAAAGAAAAAAAACGGACCCAAAACCTCCCCTGAAGAAGTGAGGGGCCCCCGGACCTTACTGATCTAGGTAGTAGGTAACTAAATCCGTTGGCTAACTCTATGCCTCTTCCTCTTTCTCCGATAACATTGTTTTCCTGACCTGAGGCCCACTCCCGCTTGTCTTGGGCAGTGATCGCTGTGGAGATCAGCAGCTGTAGGGTTTCAGCATCTTGGATTGACATTACTTCTGTTCCAACCGGAAACTGAGCGTTTTGAGACCTCACAAAAAGAACCCCATCCCTATTCGCCACGTGTCACCACATTCACCTTGGTGAGAATGAATGTCTAGGTGTGTAATGAACGTATTGTTGTGAAAGCGGGGAAGTTACAATCTCCATTCGGGTACTGGGTAAGGTTTGAAATGGGACTGGAGCACAGCTAGACACTTGGGACCAGTATCACAATACTCGAATCACTCAAATTTCATAAAAGCGAATACCATTGACAGTAATTGGCCAGTAATTGACAGTAATCTAGTCAAAAACTACCAGAGCTTGCAAACCGGCTTCCTATCCGGGCAACTAAAGGCATTCTTGAACTCCCTAGAGTTGGCCATAGTCTCCTGTGGCAGTGGTCAGTCATGGTAAACAAATAAAGGAATGTATTGATGAGACTCACGATAATTCGTGCTGATTTAGGCGCATGGGGATCGTTATAGATCGCCTGCTCGGCCGCTTCCTTGGTAGTCTTTCCACACCACCAATTACCATAAGATATAAAGAACAGCTGCTCTTTGGTGAATGCATCCAATCCCGGGAGGTGGAGGTCAGACTTTGCGTCATCGTGCTTTTTCCATGCGTGGTATGATGCTGTCAAACCTCCGGCATCGGCAATGTTCTCCCCCAGTGTCAACCGTCCATTCACGTGGAGGACCTTGTCCTCGGGACCAGTGACGGTAAACTTAGAATACTGGTCGACAAAACATTGAGCACGCTCTTCAAATGCTTCAACGGTCTTATCGTCCCACCAGTCAGTGTAGTTTCCACTCTCATCGTAGTGCCGACCGGTGGAATCGAAAGCTAATGAGGCATTGATTAGTTAGAAAAGGACAGGAGTTTTGTAGAGAACTGAGCATACCATGTGAAAGTTCGTGGCCGCTGACAGCACCAAATGCACCGTATGCCAGATACAACGGAGCGGAAGGTCCATAGAACGCTGGCGGCTGCATAATGCCGGCAGGGAAGACGATCTCATTACCTGGCGGGTTATAATACGCATTGACAGTCGGTGCACTCATGCCCCATTCGTCACGGTTGGTGGGCTTTCCGAGCTTAGACCATTCGCCGCGAAGTTGGAACCTCGCCACGGCCACTTCATTCTCAAAGAAAGTGTCTTTGGACAATTCCAGCTCCCGGTAGAATTTGTTCACGTCTTCGGGGTCTAGAACATTGGGACTCTTTGTGGGAAATCCGATCTTTTGGATGATGTTTCCCACCTTCTCAATCCCCAATTTTCGCACATCCGGAGACATCCAGTTAGTTTGGTCCAGGGTGAAGATAAATCTTTCCTTGATATCGGAAACAATCTGGTCGCCGAGTTTCTTCGAGTCCTCGGAGAACGCATCGAGCACATAGAAACGGCTGAGACTCCATCCAAGCCCTTCATCCAGATGCCCAAGGCATTTACGCCATCGCTCCTCCTTGGCTTGAGGCTCTTTCCCGGCAAGTTCATTCTCGAATCGCCGAAGCGGTTCAATGGAAGCATCCTCAATAACACCCGCAAACCCTTGGATGAGCTTCCACTGTAAGAATAGCAGGATGGTCTCTCTGGGTGTATCTTTCAAGAGAACAGACAATGCTTTCATATAGGAAGGCGACCCAACAATTAGGCGGTCACCTTTGTAGTCATGGGGCGCCAAAGATGAAATAATATTAGCAAAAGAGATTTCAGGTACCAGTGCCTCCGTTTCCTTGACCGTAAGGGGGTTGTAGTATTTAGTGACATCTTCCTGGGTTTGGGTGTCTGGAGTCACATCCGCGAGCTTTTTTTCGAAGGCGACAACATCCTCGGCAGTTTTGTCCAATCCATCTCCAACAAGTCCCCGAACAACTTGCTTCAAAACGGTCGTGTAGTCAGCCACGGTCTTTGTGTTATTATAGTATTCTCTTGCGGGAAGTCCGATTTTACGAGGCGGCGAGACCATGATAACAACATTATCAGGGTCTCTATCGTCGGGCTAGAGGGAGTCGTTAGTGGCGTGGCGTTCGTGAAGTATAGGCCACATAGACTTACAGTAACACCGGAAGAAGCTAGAGCCTCAACACCAGCATTCGCCAGATACAACAGAGCACTGGTGAGTTGATCCTGCGCTCCTTTCACAAGCCCTGCCTTTGCGGGATAGATGGTCTTCAGTTCGTCCAGAATATTAGTCAAAGGCTTACTGCCCCGTTCGTTGACAGTAGCCTCATCCAAGCAAGCATTGTATGCAGCTTTCAGTTTCTTGAGATTGTCAGCATCAGATGACGGTGGCGCTTCTGTACGCTCCAATATATGACGAAGATTGGTCTGGGCATTCTCTTTCATGATTGTGCCCGCAAATATCGATCCCTGATCGGGCCGCATGTCATGGCGCTCCCTCCATCCACCGCAGACATATTGGTCAAAATCAGTGCAGGGATCTATGTTCTCATAGTTGGGGTCCAGATTATAGAGAATTTCGGATGCAGCATGAATGCATTGTTGCGACTGGCAAAGCGGGGGAGCCTCGGGGTGCGGGGACGGCTTCTTCTCAGTAGATGGAGAGCCTAATCGTAAGGACAGCCATGTTAACGAGGTGTTCCAATAGGGAGAAGGGACTCATACCATTCGGGAAACCTAGATAGTAGGTAATAAGACCGGTGATCACAAAGACGCAGAGCCCTTTCCTCAGGGTTCTCGCCCAGCAAGAGCGGGTTCTTTGTAGCTTATTGTGCCGGGTGTGGCTAGAAACAAAGCCATTGTCCTCGGAATCGTAGACTTCGTTTACATCCAGAAGCGGACCTTTCTCGGACTGCATACTGTGCAAACAAGTTGTTGGAGTCACGTTTGCTATGGTCGCTGAGGAACTATTAGCACCTATTCATATGTGTCGAACACGATGCACTCAGGAAGGCATACCTGAATGATGGTGGAGCTGATTTTGAAAATACTATACTGTCTCAAGAAGATAATGCTAATCCGAGAATAAAGGGTTGGATGAGTCCTCGGTGCATATAACTCCTTGGGCAACGAGGAGAAGCTGGGGTCGGAATGGCGTCACACTCGGGGAACTCTTGGCGTCTCCAGCTCTGCCCAGGTTGCCTAGCCAGGGCCACTATTGATGACTCAGCGGGTTGCATTCCTCACCTGGGTAGGACGACATGCTAACTACCAAGATCCGGTCAACTACATATGTATGTATTAACAACTATGGTTGGTGAGGATATTTACTTTGTGACCGTTTATCTTGTCCGAGAAGCTGGGGTCACACCCGGATGGACGCTGAGCGACTAGTCTGGAGGAAAGAAGCCCTGGAAGTGGCCTATTGTTACAACCTATCGGGCAATCGGTAATTGATTTTCATACCCACAATTTCTCCTGGTTAAATATGGAATGAATGGGGTTTGATAGCACTGAGCTTATAACAATAGCATTTGAGTTGTCCGTTCAAAACGTGAGCAACTCCCATAAGTCACAAGATCGTCGGACGATATTCTAGGTCATTCAGTTTCGCCCCTCTCCCCCTCCAAAGAGTCAAAGTCTATCAACAGCCTTCTAAAAATGGTGTGATCTGTCATACTTTGTCCAAGATGTGAGCATACACGGAAATAGGTGGGAAGGCCTCGAGTATCAGGCGTAATCACAACAATGTAGATCACAGTCTAGCCAAAGGCCCATATGCATTGACAATCGCTAAACTTGCCGAGCTAATATCGGAGACGGATCTACAGCCTGTAAGCTGCATACATCGCTTGAAGTCGTCGAACAGGATCCTAAGCATCAACTCGACTCCTTGTTGACCGTCATACTACAAAAGAGGTCAGTATGCTCGCCTCTATCAGGATCCTTAACGTAACAATAAGCACTTACCGCAAGTCCCCACAGCGCAGGACGACCAACCCAGCAACATTCAGCGCCAAGAGCCAAGGCTTTGAAAATGTCCACCCCGGATCGAATTCCACCATCAATATGAATCTTGATCCGCCCCCGCGCCGCCTTAGCACAGGCAGGAAGCGCATCGATTGTGGCCGGTGTTTCATCCAGCTGCCGACCACCATGATTGCTGATGATAATACCATCGCAGCCATATTCAATAGCTATCTCGACATCTTCCGGGGTGAGAACACCTTTAATCCAAATCTCCATCTTCGTCACTCTGCGTAACCACGGTATCTCTGTGGCCCAGGAATGGGAATCCGAGTTTGTTGAGCTAAACCCATCATCGTGAGATTGCTGCTGAATCTCGGTAGATGATCTCTCATACATCGGATACCCCAAGCCAACTGGAGGCATGAATCCATTTCGCCATTCATTCCAGCGCACCCCAAGTACGGGACTATCTGCAGTCAGGAATATAGCCTTACACCCCGCAGCCTCAGCTCGACGGACGATTCGCTCTTGTTTAGCTTTGTCGTTCATCGCGTAAAGCTGCATCACATGATGAATTGTCCCCACTTCTTTTCCAGCGACGGTGATCTCTTCAACCGAGTGGTTGGCATAGGAGGAGACGCCCATGTTGACGCCCATTTTGGCACAGGCTCGGCTTGTGGCCAGCTCGCCTTCTGGATGAGCCATAGCCTGCATTCCGGCAGGTGAGACACAGAGCGGAAATTTAATGTCTCGGTCAAAGAGGGAAATTCCAGTATCGACAAGTGAAACATCCCTCAGAACTCTTGGCAAGAGACGATACTTTCTATACGCTGCATAATTGTCGTGAAGTGTGACTTGGTTCGTTGCGCCGGAGTTGAAGAAGTCTATTTCTAGGCGTTAAAGATAGATATCGGCAAAATGAGGGAGATTCAATATATACCTCTTGCGGAGACGGATAGTGAGTTGGAAGCCGCCTCCTCAAGATCAGCTATTGACAGTATTTTATTTGCCATTGCGAATAAGAAAAGCCAAGAGGTATTGAGAGAAATGTATGTTGTATGTTGTAATGTGTAGGCGATGTGAGGGGAGGGGTAAATGTGGGGAGCTTTTCCTATCAGACACATCTATCTAGTTACATCTCTACGGAATACATACCTACATAGACCCTAGAAATAGACAGCTCAAGGTTTGGCACATATTTTATCATTCTAGTAACCATCATCATGTATGAGTCGCGACCATATTGGCATAGGAATTAGTACATTGTGTCCACCCAGAACATGCGTGTCCTGCTGTATGAAGTGTCCCATACCATGACAGATCTATTCGACGTGAAGCCCCAAGACTCCATTGTACTATAATTGAGTATATGTAGGACCTTGAAAGGACATCGCATTGGAGCATCTTATCAAAGCCCTGACCACTGGAATATCTACTGGACTATTGGGCGTTTGGGGAGAGGGGAGCAAGGGATGATGAGTAAAGGTATTTCGGCCTGACTCAAGGCTGTTATAGAGAGCATATAGCCGAATATTATATGCACTCTTGCGCACCGCGATCGAGTTTGATTCTTGAGGTTCAAGCATAAAAACCCAACATACCCATGCCACGTTGGAGAATCTCACTTGACAAAAGCTCAGTCTAGGGCCTTTCTAGCAATTTGAACAGGGGACAAAGGGATCCTGAGATGCCAGAAGCATTCATTGGGCTCCATGTTTCACTAGACCGTTTCGATCGTTCAGTGGATAGATTATCCCTCTTTCTGCACTATAAATTATCATGGCTTAATGATGTTGATATTCTAGTTACAATTGTCCAAGGATAGTAATGTGTGGCTTAGTTGCAGTTGCCATTTCATTATGTATATGTTTAGGGGTTCATGACCAAACTCATCGCTGCCACTTGAGCACGCTCCCTCTTCAAACTAAGTTTAGAATAAAGGCTACTTGCTCACCACAGCCTCTTTAGATCTGGGCACTGTGCGGGGGTTTGATGCTACAAATCCTCCACATCCCTTTTTCACATCGGATATCTGGGAAATCCCTGTATATGATAGGCTACTCCTTCTTGATGCCAAGTTATACCAAGACTTCCCCGGCTTTTTATGTCCTCCTCTACTGCTTGGCATCAAGCGCAAAGCTGAGGGGTAACCTTGGTAGTTCCCGGAATTCTTCAATTGCCCAACCTGATCCGAGGTCTGTTGCAAGGTTTTCACTATTATGTTGGATAAGCTCGGTTAATATTCTCTTAAAATATGCTCTTAAGGTACCGCCTGTGTATGTATTCACAATCTACATCACCTTTTTATTCTTTGGATTTGTTGAAGTACCAAGAGACCCATCAATTCACGAAAATGGCATCAATGCCGGCTAGCCCCCATGAAGATGGATCTACGAAGAAAGAGGACTTGGAATTCATCCACCTTGAGGAACAAGAGCTGGCACATCGCAGCCCTGGCAATGAATCCCCTGTGTATGGCATTGACGAGGCACATCAAAAAAGGGTCATGTGTGTTCTCTCTATATTATAACACGGTCAGCAAGCCAACTCTAATGCTTGGACTAGTCGACGCGTGGATCTCCGCCTCCTTCCAATTCTTGGGATCATGTATTCTATATCCCTTATTGATAGGACCAACCTTGGTCTTGCATTTGTAGCAGGGATGGAACATGATCTTGGACTTGGTATTGGCAATAGGTATACGATCGTTGTTATGGTATTTTTCGTGGCATATATGTAAGCTCTTTGACACTACCTGGAGACTTCGAGGTACACTAATTGTCTAACTTTGCATCTAACTTAGTATATTCGAGATACCCAGCGTACGTCCGCGCTCCTGGGACAGGAGTCATCACTGACAGATGGAACACAGAATCTGATCCTTCCCCGAGCCGGTGCAGCAAACTGGCTAGCGTTTCTTGGATTTAGCTTTGGGGTGATCTTGATCGGCATGGGTTTCACCAGAAATTGGACCACAATGGTAGCTTGCCGAGTCCTGTTAGGTAAATAGATGTCCTCCTTTCCTGTTCTACTTTAGTGACCCGGTGCCCTTTTTAGGTGTGATGGAAGCCGGATTTCTTCCAGGTATGTCAAATTGGACTTTTTTTTTTTTTTTTTTGAGGTAGGCATTACTAACTAGACAGGTTGCACCTATCTAATCACATGTTGGTATACGCGATTTGAGGTGGGCAAGAGACTGGCCAGTTTCTGGCTGGTTTCTGTTGTGCTGAACGCCTTCGCGGCAATCTTTGCCTATGCCTTGACCCTCCTAGACGGGAGCTACGGTCTGAACGGATGGCGCTGTAGGTTATTTACCACCATGATGTAAGAAGAGAAACAGCTGACATCGATTATACTCTAGGGATCTTTATCGTTGAAGGTGCCATTACCAGTAGCATCTGTTTAATTGGTTGGTTCATCATCATCGATTTTCCGACGCAAGCAGATTCGTTTCTCAAGCCAGAGGAAAAAGAATTTATCATTGCTCGCATTAATAACGACAGTGGAGATGCGGAAGAGGATCCAATTACTATGGAACGGGTTCTTCACCATCTTAAGGACTGGAAACTGTATGTCTGGGCGTTCAATCTCATGGCCTCCACCCTGCCCGGATATGCGTACAGCTACTTCAAGACGGTCATTCTCATGGGCATGGGCTTCAGCAACACGCAGAGTCAGCTTCTCAGTGCCCCACCTTACATCATTGCTGCGTTCTTTACATATTTAGGTGGCTGGCTCACCGATAAATACCAAATCCGCGGGCCGGTGATTGCTGTCCATCAACTACTGACAGCAGTGGGGATGTTAATCACAGCCTATGGCGGTGCAAGTGGGGCAAGGTACTTTGGGATATTCATGGGTGAGTTCTCAATATTTTCAGGAGGAATTGTTATACATCTAACTTTATACTCTAGGTGTGGGGTTCCTACAGTTTTGTATCCCGGGTGTGCTGGCATTCCAAGCGAACAACATTACTTCCCACTCAAAGCGTGGAGTTGCATCAGCAACCTGTCTGATTGGCGGGGGACTTGGGGGCATCATTGCAAGTGTCTCGTTCAAATCCGATGAAAGTCCGCATTATACTACGGGTATTTGGGTGACATTTGGTGTTACAATGGTTAGCATATGCTTAACCGTAATGATGGACTTCCACTTTTGGAAAACAAACAAAAAGGCACGGGAGACAAATGGTCAGATTGAGGGTATGTCAGGATGGTATTATACTCTTTGAGCGTGACATGTTGATATTTGAGAAATTGTGGAATCGATAAGTGGCTTGTGTTGGATAGCCGCGCGATAATGGAGTTTCAACTCTATGTGATGATTTTTATGTTTCGAATTGCAAGCAGATACGCAATACTCTGTATTCCTCGCATGGCCAGAACACAAGGAGCACATGAGAAGGACGACAACCTTAATCCTACTGTTTCCCTTGATCTATAGTCCTTTTCGCACCGGGAGTTCGATTCAGATAATGTTGAGCTGCATCTCGTAGCCCGGGGACAGCAAGACGGTGTGTGGTTGCAGTGGGGCTATCAAGTACACCCCAAAGGCTAAGAAGCAGGCTCCAATGCAAACTGCCAAGATAGTACTATGCCGCACGCTATCTTGATCTGTGTTTGATGCAAAACAGGCAATAAAATTGACAAGCTCCGATAGTTGCCCCTGTTCGGGTTCCACGAGCGGTAGGATATTATTTGGTCGCAAGCCAGGAACTATCAATATCTCATAATCTGATAGATGACGTTTGGCTTCAGCAAGTGATATATCTCTCTTAACAGTGGCGCTCTCTTGAGATGTTGTGAGTTCATCCTTGGCAGCATAGCTCACGGAGAAATCTGAGTTGTAGAGTACTGAGACTGGACCGCTCACATCGAGAACGTTGAAAGATAACCACTAACTAACTAACTAGTTAGTGCTCTTTTCTGTGTGTGGCTCATTGTAGATCTAGAAGACTACGGAGAGGATATAAAACTCGGTTCTCTACGTCCGTTTCTGGAATTATTCAGTGACGTCACCAATTTTTGTCTCATCTGAACCATTTATCGCCACAACATGCTCAATCATTGTAAAGAGAAATGGAATGGTCGATACTCGAATGTGTGCAGCTGATTGCCTTGCTGAAGCTGTGCTGACAAATTAACTATGGACCTCGGGAAGGATTACTAATCTTGTGGATCTGCCCAGGTGGAGTGGAGCGTTAACTTCGGATTTAATGCATACAGTGATGCCTTAATGCCTTAATTTGGTATGGCAGAAGTAGGTAACTATGGGTCTCTTCAAGAATTTCAATATACAACTTGTAGTATCTTACTCATAGAAAAGAAAAGACAAGTATTCTACACTCCGTATCTCTTAGCCTAGGACTAGTAATGAAAAGAAAAACTATAGGATATTCACTTTTAACAGATTACCTTTAGGAGGATGGAGTATGTGTTCTGGTCCTCACAATCCTGCAGGACCCTCGTCTGAAGACAGACCCATCAAAACGGCCACTAAAAACGGACATGGTTCTCCATGTTTCATTATTTTGTTTTTTTCTCCTTTTACATTCGACAGAAAAATTTCCCGGACGTATCCAATATTCCTATCTAACTAATCTGACGAGTACTATACTAGACTCGGTATATCAGCCGGAGCTATTGCCGAATGACTTACGCTCGGACGATAAAAAACCCAGAAATAGGACCTGCTGTCAAATGCTGATCGACAACGTTTAAATTGCTCGAGTTCCTTTCAAACCCCTGAATACGTAGTTTGACCGTTGGCGTTGACAGGTTCACCGTTAACTTTCGCACTAGCCATAGAGTTCCTACGTACTAATGTCTCCGTATTCCGTAGGTAGGTATATGTTTATATATTTTGTATGGGCAGATGAAAGCTAATATTAGATACTCTTTCAGAATGAATTTATTTTATGTGTGGCGTTTGGCTTTGACGATCCTAAACCCTATCTATTGTTGTATATGTCTTCTGTTCTATCTTAGTCTGGAAATTATATTGCAATGTTTGAGATGAGAAGGATCTGTTAGTTATATATTTACATATACGATGTAGTATATGTAAGGCATTCGAGGTTTTAGGCATAGTGAAAAGGCTTAGGGTTTCAGTATGAAGATTTGCCAGAGCTTCATGATACCAGTGAAGCACCATTATGCATACAACATAATAGTAGGATGACAGGAGATGAGCACATATGAAAGTTGATACCTCGGGTATGCCTTCCGACCGTCAGAGAAAAGATAGCCCGCACGTGGGAAATTCATCTCTGAAGTTGCGTGTTGAGGCAGAATCCAATCTTACCTAGGTATGGCTTAAGGATGTGCTCTTTTACATCAGTAAGCGGCTGGTAGTTAAACAACTTGGGGTGGAAGTCGAGCTGCCGGGTACTCCGTAATCCGTTTTTACGTATCATAAATATAGCCTCGATTGCATCTCCGGGATGGCAAAATCTTATGCCATATGGGGCCACGGAGATTTTTTTTGATTCGTTCGGGGATGCGAAAAAAAAAAGCTGGTCCATGTTGATCCGGGTTCGTCCCATATAAAATACCTACGACGTTGTACGGAGGGAGTACTTTTGTATACAACAATTCTTAGGATTCAATCAAATGCGACTTGGCTTTTGACAGGCTAATTAACCCCCACAGGTGCCTTTGACTAATCCTGAAAGGATCACCCCCTGCCTTAGTAGCACAGCGTGGTGAGATTGTCCGCAATTAATGAACGTCATGTCTTGAACCCAGAGACGGTGGGAGTACAATGGGGTAATTGATCTTTATTTTAAACTCTTTTGGTCAGCCTGGAGTGAGTGTTGCGAAATACAAAGTATTCACGGTCCACTGAGCATCTGTTTCTCTTGATGGAGTCCTTCAGAATGGACTGGATAGCGTGAAAGTGTCTCTGATTGGATTTGTGTGGAACCACCTAAGCGCTAGCTTGAGGTCCGTCTGAACCTCGGCAGAACTGTGCTCCATCCAGTTCTCTTGAGGAAGTCCATTTCTCAGGGGCTCTATGTTGTAGTGAGCGGAGACGGAGTTAAACCCTATGTGGGGAGAGTAAGCAGAAAAGAAGAACAAGATGCCTGTGGTCTAATCAGATTCTTAGTGTTGAACCGGGATAGGAATCCGCCAACGTTTCAGAATAGCCCTTGCATTGGCCACTAGCATGCCCATGCGAGTTTCAGCACCTTTATGTCGATCGCCAGAGCTTTTGCATTCCACATTAGCTTGGTGAATGCACGATTTGTATTGTATACATCGGATGTTGTAACTAGTTAGTTAGTTAGTATGTTGTACATATTTTCGTGCTATAACAGTTTTCTTCTTCTGAAAAAAAAAAGCAAGAAATGAAGCAAAAGAAGAAAAAGAACGGAAGGAAGGGAAAATAAAACAATTCAATTGTTCACTTCACGAAATCCTGCTGATTGGATCAACGCTTGGTGTAACCGAAGCTCTTTCGATAGTGCCATTGATGAATTTCTTAGGGTTTCCCTCCCTCTCTCTCTCTTTGTCTCCTGCAAAACTGTAAAATATATAATTATCAGAAAATAGAAGAACATTAGAAGAAACAAACTCCAGTATCTGTTTGTAGTCATTGATTCCAACTTGTATATTGTAGAGGTTGCAGGGGGGTCAAACGGCCCCATGGTGGATCTGTCCAGCGGCCCCCCCTTGGGAACGAAGTGAAGATTTGAACGGAGAACATGTAAAGCCTTTGTATTTCAATACAAAGAGTAGATTGTCAAAATGAGATAAAAAGAAATGGAGAAGAAACATTCTTTGATATATTTCCTTTCAAATGTTCCCATTCCAGAGAGAATACCTGAAAATACTTCAAATACTGAATGTTGATAGATATTGAAGTTAAAGATACCGAAATAAATATACCACCGAATACCAGAATACCAGAATATCTGACAGGAGTTGATCACCTCTCCCCGCTTGTGGACTCACTCGTGGGACGGGAGAGACGTACGACCTTGAATGCGCCATTCCATTTCTTCTCTTTCTGACCCCCTCTTCCCTCCGGAGAACTCGGCTCTCACCTTCCGAAACGTCCTTTTGTTCTCAGAAGTCGGGAAATGCCCATCTTTTGAACTTTGGAACGCGATCTCGGCTTTCCCCGTCACCGCCAACGTCTTTTCCCCCTCAAGCTTCCTATTTGGCCTTCGGTAGGCTGACGTTGTGTCGCTCACACGAATTCGGCGCCTGTCTCGGAGGATAATCTGGTCCAATTGGAAACACAACGGCCCAATTCGCAACGGAACGTGGTCGATAGGTGTGGGGAACAACGGAAGCACCGATCGAACCTTTCAAGCTTCCGCCCATCACGTCGCACACCAGTCATTCGACGTTGGGTTGGACTCTAGCAGACAGGGGAGGTTTTCTTGTTCTTTTTTTGGGAGGTAGGTACATCTACAACCTTGTGCGGAGAGTCTAGTCGCTTGTCGAGTCCGGTAGAGTCTAGTCGAGTCTTTTGTCTCTGAGCTTCGACTGGACTCCCGTGTGGCGCAATCCAATCGCATCCCTGACTCAGATCAAACAGACGTCGTTGATGCGCCGAGTCCCCTGTGAAATCAGTTCAGCTTGCAATGAACCACTGCTAACCATCATCGTGCTAGGTAGTTTGTTGTTACCGGACGTAAACCATGGGTTGCTTAGTTTCGAAGCCCGAGGAGGCCGACAGGGATGCTTTCCAGCGTAATGCGCGCATTGACCGGACCATCAAGAATGACAAGAAGACGCTGGATCGGACCATCAAGATTCTCCTATTAGGTGGGTGGTTCTCGGTTGATTGTCGGCCTACTCCAGTGTCGCGTTGCTAACAGAATGCTCAGGAGCGGGAGAGTCGGGGAAGTCCACCATTATCAAGCAGATGCGAATCATTCACAGCCGGGGCTTCCCCGAGGAAGAGCGTCACCAAACCCGTGCCATAATCTATTCAAACCTCGTCATTGCGTTCAAGGTGTTGTTGGATATTATGAATGCCGAGGATATCGATTTCGAGAATGGGGAAAAGACCAAGGTACTGCCCACCCTTCTCCTCATGAGACCTACATCAGCTAACACAGGGTTGAAAGCCATTTGCGGATCTATTAGACAATACGGACCCAGATGTAGGGTCCGACGAAGCCTTCTCCGATCTCGAGGTTCGCGATGCAATGAGGGCCATGTGGAAGGATGACGGTGTGCAAAAGGCCGTTGCACGGGGGCATGAATTTGCTCTCCA